AAGGGTGACTGATGGCAGAAGTTGTCCATCCAGGAGAAGACAGTTCTTTGCCGTGCGTCATTCTGGCAGACGTTTGCCAAAACCAAGAACCAAACCGGCAAGTGGAAGATGAATCTTGTCTGCAATATCGTCATGCTACTCGGGCAATGCTACAATCTGAAAAATAGGAAGAACTCGACTTAAAATGCCCACCGGCGGTAGTAGTAGCAGCAATTGACCTGCAGTAGCTTCGTTCTCATTCGCCGTGTAGTCCGACCAATCGATACTAAAAAATAAAAAAAAAACTGACAGCACAAATCTGAAAATTGAGATGTATTCAAACGCGTGATTATACCAACAATCAATACGAAACTAACGATTTAAATTGGCTCACTACTTGACTAACCTATTGGTCCCAACCAAATCGATTAACGTACCGTGTGTATAAATTCCAGTACTACACTATGTTTGTTTTGATTCGCTATGAAAGTTTGACAGATAAAATGAGGGGTTCGTGGATTTTCCTATGTTTCGAGGGGTGTATCGATTAGTTTGGGACCGAAGATAGTACCAGAGCTGAGCCAAAAAGTTGAGCACGTTTCTTCGGGACCTTCTGGTCTTAGAGTTACCTCTATGATTATACCATAGAGGTAACTCTATTTATGATTATACTTTCAATCCGCCATTCAAGGCAAGTATGATCGTGTCATGATCAGTCCCGCTCCTGATTCGTCCATTGGTTCTAGCGCTTTACCAACCATCAATCATGCATCGCCCGGCTGTCACCTGAACACTCTGGGACGCATTGAAGTTAGCACTACGGAAGCCCCTTCTTCTCCCGCCACAGTGGAGTTAATCCAGCCATCGTCCTACACTCGTCCTGGACCTGTGTGTGGGCTTGGAGAAGGGGTCTTCCAACCCGCAACTCAAGGCAAGTATGTTCGTGTCATCACCAGTTCCGCTCCTGATTCGTCCGTTGCTTCTAGCGCATCACCGCCTCAAGAGCAACAACCGACTGGTTCAACTGAAAATTCGGACAAAAATTGATGCGAGTATGACGCTATCATCTTGATTGAAACTGGACTTGACGATAGCATCAATTCGACTCAGATTCTTGGACCTGGCTACAACGTGTTTCGCAACTTTCGCAACAGCGATAAAACATGCTTTGGTGGCGTGCTGATAGCTGTGACGCAACTTTATGTGAGCTCATTTGCGAATGTCAGACACGGTACTATACTGGCACAAGTCTGTGTATCATTGGACTTACATGGCTATAGACTACACACCAAAAAATTCTGAATTTTACTGGCGATGTAAACATCCATCCATGCAAACATTCATATATGTAAAGTTCCTTTTCACGTAAACTAGCAGCTTGGAAGAAATGTTGCAAACAAAAGTGGACAGTTGCATCAACAATCAATACGAAACTATCGATTTTAAATTGGCTCACTACTTGACTAGCCTATTGGTCCCAAGCAAACGATTAACGTACCCCATTCTAGTCGAAATTCTAGTACTACGCTATGTTTGTTTTGATTCGCTATGAAAGTTTGACAGATAAAATGAGGGGTTATTCGGTATTTCCTATGTTTCGAGGGGTGAATCGATTAGCTTGGGACCGAAGAGAGTACCAGAGCTGAGCCAAAAAGTTGAGCACGTTATTTCGGGACCTTCTAGTCTTAGAGTTACCTCTATGGTTGCATACAATATATGGAATATTGCATGACATGTCTTATAAATTTACACGATCTATAATCTAAACTTGTATGATATATGACGCTCCATTTATGTGCATCATAGTAACGGAAATTTACACTACTTTTTTTTAGCTGTGTATATTTAAATATGCGCTGTGTACATCCCACCCGACCGAAGTCACGACGTCGAAGTTATGGAAGCGCATATCGCTTCAGTCAAAGTGTTGTGCGACAAGGATAAGATTCTTGTTTGTGGCGAATCGATGACAACAGGGTCTACCTCACCGAAACATCTTCACTGACCGCTGCAAGTATTGCTCTCGTTGATGGAATGGATTTCGTTAATCTCAGTCAACACAATACAGTCCGAAATGAACTTGGCCGCACGCTGGATTTGGTATTTTGCAACGGTGAAAATGATTTCGATATCCACGAATTCGCTGTGCCGCTTTTACCTATTGATGCTCACCATCCTTCCTTAATTCTGTCGCTACCTGGTCCACTTGACTGGCCATCTCACCCAGCTTGCAACATGGATGATAGAGCAGGGCTTCTAGACTTCAAGAAAATTGATTATGTCTCATTACTGCAGTATATTTTTGATGAAGACTGGGCCGATGTGTTTGAATGCATTGATGTTGATGAGATGACTGTGCGTTTCTGTAGCATTATTCAACATTGGTTGGAATCAAATGTTTCTCTCAAAAGACGACCAATTTCCCCAGCTTGGAGTACTTCTCAGCTTAGCGTTCTGAAGCGTGAGCGTAACGCAGTCCAGAGAAAACTACGTCGTCACAGAACAGCTGACACGAAGACTTCAAGCGTGCCAGTATCGCTTACATTAAACTTAACAGTGCCGACAAATCACACGTCCTCAGAGTCCAGTGGAATTTACGGCGTAACCCCCGGAATTTTTGGAGCTTTGTCAACAGCAAAAGGAAAGATTCGAGTATACCGTTCAACATGCTACTCGATGGGAAAGAGTTCATTTATCTTAGCGAAGCGTGTGAGATGATTGCTAAACACTTTGCATCTGTCTTCGATAAAAAAATATGACAAGTGACGTTGAAGCTGAATCTGCTGCCTCTGATACGCCTAGTGACTTAGTGGAACGAATGTGAGGTAATTCGGGATATGGTACTTTCAGCAGCAAACCTCACTTCTCTCCGGTCCAGATAGAATTTCGGCAGTGGTGTTCTGCCGTTGCTCAGCTGCCTTAGCAGAACCTTTAGCAGCCATATTGAATGCATCCTTTGAGCAAGGAAAATTCCCAACATTGTGGGAGCAGTCGAAAATGTTCCCTGTTTTCAAAGCTGGCAATAAATGGGATATTAAGAACTATCGAGGTATCACCAGTCTTTCGGCAGCGTCCAAACTTTTTGATATCATCTTGCGCGAATTTGTCCTGAATCGCTCGAAGAACTACATTTCAACTGACCAGCATGGATTTATTCCCGGTAGATCGGTAGCTACTAACCTTTTGGATTTCACCAGTACATGCATCACCGCGATGGAGAATAAGGCACAAGTCGACGTCATATATACTGATCTGAAAGCCGCATTCGACAAAATCGACTAGAAGGTTTTGTTATTCAAGCTTTCCCGACTAGGAGCGTCTGAGCAACTTAGGTCGTGGTTACATTCCTACTTGACTGGACGAACTCTTCGAGTACGATTAGGATCTTGTGTCTCTTCTACGTTTACCAGCACCTCTGGAGTACCTCAGGGAAGTAACCTGGGTCCACTTTTGTTCACGTTATTCTTCAACGATGTAGCAGTCATCGTCTTTAAGCTCTGCTAGGTTTGTTTGTGGATTGGTGCTGTCGCAATAAGCTCATCATCAGCGTTCCAAAGTGTGCAGAGATGACGTTTCACCGCTCTAAGAGATCAATCCATTACGACTACTGCATTGACAAGAACGCAGAGTAGAACGTAAAACGTATGAGTGATCTTGGTGTTCTTTTGGACCCAAAGTTGACCTTCAATCTTCACTAGTTTGGTTATCTCTAAGGCGAATCGTCAACTGGGATTTATTTCGAAGATTGCCCGAGATTTCAAAGACCCTCACTGCTTGAAGGCACTATATATTGCTCTTTAGTTCGGTCCATGCTTGAGAATGCATCTGTGGTCTGGTCTCCATATGAGCTAGTGTGGAATCTCCGAATAGAACGTGTTCAGAAGAGATTTTTGAGGTTGGCTTTGCGCAGCCTGCCGTGGCGCGATCCAATGAATTTACCACCTTTTTGTCGTATCACATTTATTATTGTTATCTATCATCTGACATCGTGGTCTTATTGAAATATTCTTAATCCTAGTTTAATTAAATATATGCAGAGATCGTAAACGTTGTTTAAAAGTGTTTGTAGACATATTAAAATCAAAAACATGATACCCTTCTTGAAACCGTATGCTTATAGAGTTCAAAGGGTCATTGGAGCCATATAAAGTATTCCTCGGAGCTGGTTGGATTAGTTGTCGTGACCGCAACACTCGCTCTGGGGCATAAATCCTCATACGATTCAGTAAGGCTGAACTATCAATCTCTGCGCGAAGTATCTTAGCTCCAAATACAGCTTGATGCATCTTACGACGATTTGCCAGCGGTTCGATATTCAGCAAGGCACAACGATGCTCCTGAGGCGGTAGGTTTACTGGGTCACGCCAATGTAGACTTCGTAGTGCAGCCCGGACAAATTTACGTTGCACAGATTCGATCCTGGAGATCCACACAGCTTCATACGGTGACCAAACAATCGATGCAAATTCTAGTATTGATCTACCTAGAGAGCAATAAAGAGCACGCAAGCAAAGTGGATCATTGAAGTCTTGCGCGATTTTTAGAATGAATCCTAATTGACGGTTGGCTTTGTCAACAACAGCTGAATAATGCATCTTGAATGTGAGTTGGTGATCCAAGATCCTTCACTTTATCAACGCGCTCAAGTTCCTGTCCATCGATCGTGTAGTTGTACAGAATAGGGTTTTTGCACCGCCGATACGAGATGATGCAACACTTAGATACACTCACTTTGAGGAAGCTGGAGTTGCACCAATGAGCGAATCGATCCAGTAACTCTTGAAGTTGCCTGCAATCGGCTTCATTTCGTACTACGAGATAAATTTTAAAATCGTCTGCATAAATCAGCAGTCCCCCATTTGCTAAAAGGATCGTCACGTCATTGAAAAATAATACGAATAACAATGGGCCAAGGTTGCTGCCTTGAGGCACACCATAGCACGGAGTAAACGGAGCAGACACTGTTGATCCTATTTTAACAACGAGCTACCTGTTGCTTAAGTACGAACGAAGCCAATTACATACTCTGCTGGAAACGCCTAGTCGAAGTAGCTGGGCAAGAAGAATATCGTGGTTCACGGTGTCGAAAGCAGCCTTTTTGTCGGTGTATACAGCATCAACCTGAGCTCCATCGTCCATTGTGCCGATGCAAAAAGAGGTAAATTCACACAGCTTGCTGTCCACTGATCGTTTGGAGTATAATCCGTGTTTAAAGGCACTGATGTAGTTCCTGCAAGAGCTGAACAGTACTTCATTGACGATGATTTCGAGGCATTTAGATCCAGCTGACAACGAAGTTATCCCACGGTAGTTAGAAATATCTGACTTATCACCTTTCTTGTGCACTGGAAGCATATGGGAGGTCTTCCAAGCAGAAGGAAACCACTGTTGCTGCAATGATTGGTTGAAAAGTATTTGAAGAGGAGCAACCAAAAGTGCACTAAAATTTTTGGAATACACACGAAGGAATGCCATCCGGGCCAGGTTGATAAGACTGCTTGAGTTTCTGTAGAGCTGATTCAACCGTCGCTGTGTTGATGTTGAATACATCAAGATCTACCGCGTCTCTTGGTACCAGCTCAACAGCTACAACACGGAAAGTGACCGCTGCAAGAATTATTTTACAGCGGTTTGTTTACCTAGGCGCCCACTTTCTGTGGTATAAATTTCACGGTGTTTCGTGCAGTGAGTCAAAAATTATTCCAGATGGAAGCCGAGAGGAGAGAGAAAATTCTGCACACCCACGTTGATAATCCAACGTGGTCCGCAATAAAAATAGCAAAAACGTTGAAAATCGTCAAATCAACCGTATATGCTGTGCTCAAACGTTTTAGGGAGCGAAAGAGCGTGGATCGAGTGCCTCAAGGTTAGCGTCGTAGTGGAACATATGACCGCAAGCTGAACCAGAAGGTGTTGAGAACCGTCAGAGCAAACCCTGGACTATCAGATAATGAAATCGCACAAAAATACGCTGCTGCTCGCAGTACCGTTCGAAGAATTCGTTTGCGAGCAGGATATCGTTCTTATCGAGCCAGCAAGCAACCAAACAGAACGTTGAAGCGAAGTTTCGCCACCAAAACTCGAGCTCGGAAATTTTACCAGCAGGTTTTGACGAAGTACCAAGGATGCTCATCGACGATGAAACCTACGTCATAATGGATTTCGGACAGCTTCCTGGTCAAAAATTCTACATGGCGACGGCACGAGGAGATGTTGCTGCGAAGTTTAAGTTTGCTTTTATGGAAAAATTTGCCAAAAAACTGATGATGCAGCTGCGGAGCAAAGACCAAAGTATTCGTGACAAATAAGACGATGGACTCGAAGCTGTACAAGTAAGAATGCCTCAAAAACCGCGTACTACCTTTCATTAAAGCCCATAAAGGTCCCGTGAAGTTTTGGCCAGATTTGGCGAGTTGCCACTACAGCCGGGAAATCATCCAGTGGTACCGCGATAACAACGTCGTAGATTTCATCGATAAAAACATAAATCCACCCAACGGCCCGCAGTTCCGGCCCACCGAGAGATTTTGGGCAATAGTGAAGCGGAAGCTTAAGAAAAGTGGAAAAACGGCTCGGGACGCGATACAGATGACCAAAATGTGGAACAAATGTGCCAAGGAAGTTGACTCCGGAAGTGTGCAGCGTTTGATGGGAGGATTAAAGAAGAAAGTGCGAATTTTCATCAGAAACGAAGAGAAATGATTTGTATTGAAATTTTTTTTCTTAAAAGTTCAGTGAATTACCTTTGTTTTGATGCATTAACCTTATTTGTACGTCAATCCGTTACCGAGATACAGATGATTTTATTATTCCGGATTCTAAATGGACATAGCTTTAACGTACATTTCGTACGAAAAAACGATTGTATCCACGATAGATTCAACTAGCTTCGTCAAACTGGTGCTTTAGATACAAACATCGTTGACAACAATATCGCTGCAGTAACTTGGAGCGCCGTCGACGCAGGGTGCGAAGATGCACATTGGACCAAGCAGGACCGCAGACCGATGCATGCCACTGGACCTGGACGCATTGGATCACAGAAGAAAACTGCAACAAGCCTAATTTGTAGCGAAACTTTTAAATGGCAATGTGGGCTGCCCTCAACTGCTTTCACAATTAAACTTCCGTGTTCCTCAAAGGTTGTTGCTGCAATCATCCTTACTACAACCAAGATTCCATCGGACTGCATATGGATACCATGAGCCAATGGGCCTGGGGGTAAAATGAACAGGTGGGGTAAAATGAACAGGTGGGGTAAAATGAACATGTAGTGAAATCACGGCAAAAATAGTTAAATTCAGAACCATATTATCAGCAACCCTATCTGAAGAGTATTTTAAGCTGTTTGAAACACCCTCTACGAATCAGGAGCTGTCAAATGAAAAGAAAAAAAAAAATAAATGAAAACAAAATCACCGGCTCGATTCGGACTGTGAAAGTTATTTACGCTCGCAGAAAATAAGCTTTTTGTAAGTGAAAAATCAAAATCTAACCAAATATAGCCATCAGTTTCGTTAACTTGACGTTTTCCTAAGGATTTATGGAAGATTGTAAGTATTTTCATCAATAATTCGTTTTAAATTAACACTCGAAAACAGCTAATGCACTGGGGGTAAAATGAACAGTTCATGATGGGGGTAAAATGAACAGTGTGTATAATCATGGCATATTTTCGGATGCCTCGGGTTTATAAAAGAAAAACGCAAAGACAAACATGGACAGACACACAAATGGCAGCGGCTAACCCTGCCGTTGGATGCGGAATGTCTGTAAGAGCTGCACCTATCAAATACCAGATCCCAAGGATCACGCTCGCCAGGTGGATAGCTTCACCGAAGAAGAAGAAACCCCTAGGATCGAAAACATCGGTGTTCTCTACTGAACAGGAAATGGAACTAGTGCAACATTTGCTTGATCTGCAGTCCCGATTCTATGACATCACTATGAGGGATGTTCAAATGCTGGCATATGAGTTAGCTGAGCGGAACGGCTTACCTCATCCGTTAGCGTTAGCGTTAGCGTTAGCGTTGTTATGATATACTTCGTAGATTGGATACTAGCGACACTCACGTCTCTTCTGAAATTCTCAGCTAGACTACTTTCAGGAATAATGCTGGGGAGTAAACATTGATTCCAATCTAAACAAGAGTAACAGAAGCATGACTGTCGCTATTCCCGGCCACGCCCATCTTTACCATAACTAGGGATAAGGAAGGAAATGTTGATGTAGTACTTACTTAACGAGAGGCCACCGACTTAGCGACACCCTCATAAGTGCTACGGAGTTGGAGGGTTGGGTAGGATATTCGGTTAGGATTCACCTCGAGCTGGCGATGCAACCAAAAGTATGTATTGTTTATTTGTTGTTCATTTAATCTCTCGATAGCCGACTATCGAAAGAAAATATTCATTTTGTTTAGTGATCATGAATTTTAAGAGTCATGACGGAGAGCTTGGGATTAAGCCCATGATTTTCTGATCAGTAAACAGAAACGATCCCTCCAGGGTCATCGAGCATCTCAGAACCATAACGCTTCGCGACAATACAGGACTACGTTTTCGCTTGATATGCAAATAGTTTCCGACGTTAATGTTCCATATCAAATATACAAATGATGGTGGCGATTTATTGTGCTGTGGAAGAGCTTGGGGTTAAATCCATGATTTTCTGCTCAGTAAACAAAATCGATCCCTCCAGGGTCATCCAGCATCCAATAATCCACAGCGCTTCGCGTCAAATTACGATTAAGTTCTCTTTAGTTATGTAGCGAATGATTAAGATATGCAGAATTCATATGCCTTTTCGACCGGTAATCAATTCAAAATATACAAATAGTACTGCCAACGACGACGACGATTATAGTGAATTTAGAGCTTACCCCTTGTCTAGGATAAAGATACCTTGGCACCTCCACAGGATCCTCATGTGCATCTATCACTGTCTGCAAACATATTAAAAGTTAACGCACATGATATTCTGAAATTAATGTTTTTATCTGACATTCACATAACTTTCATATTATTATTATTATTCTATGTGATAAATCACACACATTTCACTGGACACATAAATTTCATGTTGTGTTTTGGAGCGATTCCCAATTATAAGACCACATGAAAGTTATGTGAAATTCTAATGGATATTTGCCATCTGAAATGTGATTTTTTTTTCTTTTCTTTTTCCGTTTTCCCTCTTTCCGCTTCCCCTTTCCTTTTTCCCCCTTCCCTTATCCCCTTTTTCCTCCTTTTTATTTTTTTTCCTTTCTTTTTTTTTGAGTGTATTATTGCCACGCACAACGCACCGCTCCTAACCTTAATCAGTTGTAAATTATTCGGTGCGTGGTGTATACAGAACATTAAAGATATGTTTTCAAAAAAGAATTTCCAGTTAATGTGCCGTCGGATCGGCGAGTTTGAAGTTTGGTTACAACGCATCCCAGGTGACGGAAATTGTCTATTTGGTAGCCTCGTTCTCCAAATACTGGGAATTCATCCTGCCGAGTCAGTTTTCCCAAATAAGGTGTCGCAGATGCGAGCATCAATCGTTGAACATCTTCAACGAAATTTTGCCAGATACTGGGTCTATCTAGTCCCGTTTGCCGAAGATGTAATAAAACACGGATTCATCGACGTATACGACCGTGTTTGGAAATATTTAGAGTTGCTTTCTCACGACGGCACTTGGGGTGGTGAGGAATGTTTATCCATTGCGTGTGAACTCTACAACGTCAGTATCACCATCTAGGAAGAACGCACCGGTCGGTTTAGAGAGTATCCCGTAGGGACCGCTACCTCTCAAAAAGTCGCTATTTATTATACTGGCTCTCACTACGACAGCGTTGTCTTTTGTGCTCATATTGACATCCAAGATTCTGCCGGGTCAGTTGATATTCCAACAGCTGGACATGTGCTTAATGTCCTGCCTTTTTGTGATCACCTGGCCGTTTGTCGATCTTTCCTTCATCAGTTGGCAATAACCCCGGGTGAAAAAGAAGTGTCTGCGCTAAACTCGATGATGCTTAAATACGCCCACCTTAAATCAAACTCAGATTCAGGTAATCATATCATCTGTAGATTTTGCACCGTTGCTAATAACTTCTGCCTGATTTATTCTAGGCCAAAGTGTAATTAATCGA